TCCGGTCGCGACCAAATTCGGAGGGGTCAGAATGGATTAACCGTATTTTCATTGAACCTTATGGGAAAATTTGATTCGGGTCATGACCAATTCGGGTGGCAACCAGAATCGCGGAACGAATTAAGTTCGTGAACCGAGGTACCACTGTAATTATGAAGCAGTTCTAGTTTTCATATACTTTATCAGCTGTAAGGTTTTTAGGTTATACTTCTTAATTTTGTCTGTTCTTTATAGATTGAAGCTAGTTTGGCAGAATACCATAAACTGGCTCGAAAATTAAAACTAATTCCTACAAGTGCAGAGAATTCTGGTGGTCTTGATTTTGAAATTAAATTTAATCCCGATGCAGGGCCTAATTGTCTGGCTAAGTACAGAACTCAGATTCGTGTAAGTATATGCTCACTTTTCACGTAAAGCTCTTTTAAAGAATCAATCACTTTCTTTCAATAAGTGAACACAATATTTTAACAGTATTTAAAGATGAAGTTCAATTCCTTTATCACAATGAATGTCTGGAGAAATCGATATATCTATCATGTACAAGAATTTGCTTAAGCACTGTTTATGGATTGGTATATGTTATTGAAGGCTTAGAAATCCCTGTACATTAGGTTAAGGATGCTGCCTTAGAACATCAATTGTTGAAAAGGCTGCTGCTGTCTTGTTCTGCTAGCTAGCTTCCAACTGGCTTCTCATTGGCCACTATCGGGAACAGAATGTTGACCAGATAGACAATTGGTCTGATCCAGCATGGCAATTTCTGTGTTTTATAATTCAAAACCCCTCCCTGGAGTATGAACTAATATAAGAATACTTGGGTAAGAAATTGCCTTATCAGCTTATATGAAGATCTTTTCTATATTGTATTTGCCACTTATTTAAAGTATTTCTTTCTTGAATCCCTATAACTGGACTACTTCACCTGAAAATTATGTATGTTTTCCTTTATGGTATTTATGTAACCATGGCAGGCTCCCCTTCTGAATCTCATAAACAAGACTGAAGAGGAGATTGCAAATGCAACAAAGAGAAAAATTGGCTTAGAAGACACCTTAGAACAGGTCAGTTCCTAACAATCTGTGGTCTAGTGGGAAACCTACTGTAATGCAACCTATTTCATCCTCATCTTGTTTATCTGTGTATCTTATTCATAACATAATTCAGTGCTCAAAACAAGTACAGAGAGCTGCTAATAAAGGAAAATGATAATAGAATGGAAAAAAGACAAAGGACAATGCAATCTAATTTCTAGATGTTCAGTAAATACGCCTATACATCTTCAAACTATATTCTGTGTATAGGCTAAATGATTTTTTAAATGTGAAAGTGTTTGCTGGACTCCAGAATTCTTTTAATCATTAAGAGAGTACTGTGGGAAGTTCTCTGTTTGCTGCTAAATTAAATGTAGACTTGAAAGCAAAGGACATGAACTGGAGGCACTCATGACTTTCAGTACTAACACCCTTCATTAAATAATATTCTTTAAGGTAAACACAATGGAAGCTGAACAGAACAGCAGTGTGAAAATGCTAAGAGAAGAAGCACAGAAACTGGAAGATTTGTATCAGCAAAAAACAAAGGTATTGTGATAAATATATATACTTTTAAGTACATTCTATAGAATTCATTACTAGGAGAATATATTTTTTGGTGAGAAATGTTTACACATAAGATAAAAAGACATTCTGGTGTAGTGGGTAAGATGCTGGACTAGAACTGGGAGAACATGAGTTCTAATCCTCCCTCAGGCATAAAACCTGGCTGGTTAATCTTGGTCCAGTCAGTCTCCCTCAGCCCAACACAACCAGGTTGTTGTGGAGAAAATGGGAGAGGAAATGTTATGTATGCAGAAAATAAAGGCAGGATATGAATCTAGCAAATAACATGAATAAGTATTTCTAAAAACAGCATTATTAGAATTATTTTCTCTAGAATAAGAATTATCTAAAAGATGAGCACATACAGCACTTCTTACAATATAACAGAACTGGAGCAATGTCACCATATTAAATTTACAATGCCTTCTTGCAATAGATAGGATTTATATACGTCATAAATGGATGATTCCATTCTGAAGTATTAATTCATATACTTATTGCAGGAAGTTGTAGAAGAAGAAGAAAAGAGTAACAAAGAGCTGGAGTTGTTGGAGAAACATAAAAGTTTGCTTTATAATGGTGTCAATGAGGGTGTCAGTGAAGCCATGAAGGAACTACATGAAATCCGATGCCGGTTAGTTTAATTAAACAAAGATTTGGCTTTTGAGGTTTATTCTAAACTTTTTAAAAAAGCTTGCTTTCTCAGTTGAACTTCCTTCCTTCCTTCCTTCCTTCCTTCCTTCCTTCCTTCCTTCCTTCCTTCCTTCCTGCCTTCCTTCCTTCCTTCCTTCCTGCCTTCCTTCCTTCCTTCCTTCCTGCCTTCCTTCCTTCCTTCCTTCCTGCCTTCCTTCCTTCCTTCCTTCCTGCCTTCCTTCCTTCCTTCCTTCCTTCCTTCCTTCCTTCCTTCCTTCCTTCCTTCTTTAATATAGCTGCCCATCTCACGTTCGTGACTGGGCAGCTTACAATTAAAACATAAATAATACCAAAAACCTAAACAACCATTCAAACAGTACAAAACGTTTAAAACAATTAAAAACAATTAAAAACCGTACAATACAGTCACCGGGAGCACAGTAATTCCTGAACAGTACAGCCATTTTATGGGCTCCAATATCACTCTCTGACCCCAGGCCAGATGGCTTATTCTAGATAAATTACTGATATTGCATCATGATCATACATAGTGTTCTTTACAAATAGCTTACAACTAAAATGTATGAACTGAATGGAGTAGAGGAAAGGTAAACAGGAAAAAAGAATGTGAAAAATGTAAGTAATTGTTTTCGTTGAAGATGGGACAAGGCTGCAATCCTGGTCACCCTTTCGAGTAAGCTCCACTGAAATCAGTGGGACTTATTGCAAGTTAACATTGCACTCCTATAAGCTTAAGTGTTAAGGTTCATAATAAAGATGAGTTTATAGGAATTATATGGAATATGTTAGGCAACATAATACAAATATTAATCTTAGTTAAATGGGAAAATTTTAAATGAAACATGGTTAAATACTGGAGTAATGCTTCATGTGCTAATTATAATAGACTGTTTATACAAACCTTGAATTTACAGATAAAGGGAAGGTTTTTCAATGTATATAATGCAATATTCTCTTCCATCTTCTGGTATTTACTCCTTAGATACCAAGTGGTTATGCAAACAACTTCAGAAGAGAGCCGGAAAGTAGATAAAAATCTGCAGTATCTTCTGGAACTAATATTTACTCATCTTGAGTCAGTTGAGGTAACTCATGTTATATTAGTTAAAACTGTCACTCTCAATTTTAAAACATTGATCACGAAAGGACATGCCTAGTTCAGTATCCTGATATCCTTTCTTATGTGAGGAAGACCCATAGCTTGGTAATCAATCATACTCCATTTGCATGTTGTGGGTCGATCCTTATCATGTCTCCTTAAAGCAAGGTTGAGAAACTGTTGCTGCTTAACTAAAACTGAGGGGATGTGCTCACAATTCTGTTTAAAATAGATGTTTTAAATGTTCTGCGCTTAGAACAAGGTTTTCATTTTGAGGACAGGCCATTTCAAGTGGTACTGTTTTGAGTGTTCTTTGCTATTCTAGGGCATGTAATTAGAGTATTATCTTCCTCTTACAACTGGATTGTTATAATGAATTTTCCAGCCTGGAACAAGAGAGCAAGAAAGATTGGTCAGTTTTCTTTTGTTATTGGCTTAAGTTGGTTAGGGTAATCCACAGGGGAATGAAGCTCTGAGTTGAAACAGTAGACACCGAAGGAGCATTTCTAGGCCTAAGTGCTGTTGTCACTTAGCTGTCAAGGTTCACACTAGGCTTGTCAGTAAATCATAACTTTTCAGCATTTAACGTCTTACTGAAGACTTGGTTTACTTTCCCATACTCTTATCAAGAAAACTTGGTAAATCCATGAAGTTACCAGAGGGTGAGGGAAACACTGTTTTAGCAGACATAAAACTTAAAACTATGAAGTGCTGCTGAAAAGTCAGAATAGGATGGTATTGGACTAGATGGACTGGTTATATTTTATTTTTTATAACATGGTGGCCTTATATGTTTTTATAAATGTGGGTAAAACACCAAACGTGTCAATGCTAAATCTTACTACATGTTTAATTCAAGTTCTTTTATATGTTGTAACCTAAAATACAACATATTTAACGTTCTTAGGTAGATGGGATATTGTTTCTTCAACTATTTTTTCTGATAGTTCAGAAAGATGGCAAAAAATGGCTTGTCATTAGAATCATTCTATATTTTCTGGAAAAAAACCCAGTTATCTTCATCCAAGCCCAATTGTGTTTAATTATATATAACTAATTGCACAAGTATATAGACATGTGTTCAGATACATATTAATGTACATATTAATCTGAAGCAATGCAATGCAAGTATATCATTGGTATACTATACTATGGTAATTAATGCAACAAGTGAAAGATCCTGTGGGCCTTCTTGGTTCAGAGAAGTAAGGCTTCCCAACATCTGTCTTTGCTTTTCCTACAGTGGACAAAGATGTTCTGAACATTAAGTTGCTATTTCCATGTGCACCAAGAGACTGTATTAAACAACTGGTAACAATTCCTAGAATGGGAGAGGGTACCACATTCCCATTTATGTCCCTGCCTAGCACTGGTTTATAGCACATTGCTTACAACTCTACTGTTTTCTCCATTTCTGTTGCTTTCTTCTATAGCTGGGAAACATGGACATCCCAGTGCTTTCATTAAGATATTTCTCTCCAAGCTGTCAACCACATTGTTAGGATTCAGCCTCTTGATAACTGACTGGCTTAAGAGGTGTAAGGATGGATCTCCCTAGAAGTTATCAATTCTGCCATGATAGGAGAGGTACCAACTGTAAGCCTGACATCATCTGAGCCACAAGTGGCCCTGCCTTCACTCCTTCATGGACCCAGGCAGCTCAGGCAAAGGACAGAATGAAGTCTTACATCACTGGGTGGAAAAATGCCTCCACTGCCCTTCAGTGATTTAGCTTCATTACATTAAGAGGCGAACTGTGCCAGACTTTTCCTATAGAAACATTGGAAATGGACAGTAAGAGGCTGGCGGGGTGGAATGGGGGACAAGCTCCCTCCTTGAGAAAGAGTTTTCTAGCCTTGCATACTGTGACTGAACCTCTAGAGAAGCAGCAGAAGATCATTTTGAGATTAAGACTTACAGCTGTCTCTGCTTTCCTCCCTGGACTGAGAAATTGGGGGGAAATTCCAATGGCATCAACATGAAATCCTTTTAGGCCTTGTGGTATGTTGTAGTAATAAATCACATTATTGTATAAGAATACATTCATTTCCTTTTTTCTCCAGAGCACTAGAACAAGAAAAACAGCACCTTTTCCTCCCCTAATTCTTAGAGACTATGAATAATTTGAAAAGCAGCTGCAGAAGAACTTGTTAGCTGCTCTTGCTGCTATAGTTAATAAATATATTAATATCACTGTATTGATAACAAACTAAGAATAGTCTTGGAGGAAGCATAGCATTGAGCTCCCATAGTAGATATCCTTGTAACCTAGGATGAAATTCACCTCAGTATCAGCTATTAAGGCAGTATGATTTTTTAAAAAAAGAATCTCTACCAGGCTTTCCGAGCTTTTGTCTTGAAAATCTCCAGAATTATGCACCAGGGTAGCACATACTGCGCTTGCCAGGTTTCTTACCTAGGCAGCAAAATCTTTGGTTCCGTTACTCAATCCAAGATCAATTGTCATACATACTTCTGCCTACATTGTGATAATAAATATGGTCAATATACATATAGAGCTATAAGTTAAGAAATCCACAGCTAACATTCTTTGCCTCATGGGAAAGTGGCAGAAAATGTGCATTTTCTTGAGTTTTTAAAATAACATTTTAATATAACCTGGAAATAAGAAAGCTTTTTCAGAAGTTCCTTCTGTTGACAGCTGGTTGATTTCATTATATTCAAGGAAACTGATATGTCCAAACTCTCAACACAGTCCATGTTCAAAAAATATTCAAGCCCTCTAAATGTTTGCTTCCATTAGTGAGAAATCTACAGAAAGGAGACAATATTGTATTCCATAATCCTTGGGGCCAAGATCCAATAAAAAGAAAAATAATTCAGCAGCAATTGTTATGCCTGCAAGTTACTTCCTCCTTGGTTGTTTATTTATGGATAAGTCTATAACAAATGTGGGGTAATATACTGTACATTGTTGGGGTAATATACTGTATGTATGTATACTTTGTATGCAGGTGGTACCATGTTGTTTGCTAAGAATGCAAATTATTTGCAGCAAATGTTAGACTGTCTGATGCACTGTTTCTCAACCTTGGCAAATTTAAGGTGCATGAACTTCAACTCCCAGAATTCTGGGAGCATGGCTGGCTGGGGAATCCTGGGAGTTGAAGTCCACGCATCTTAAAGTTGCCAAGGTTGAGAAACACTGGTTTGATGCAACAAGAAGTACAGATCTGAAAAGTAATGTATTGAGAGTTTGACAGGGAAAACTGAGCGAACAGTTATATATAAATAGAAAAAAACGACCCTTTTGTGTAAAATGGCTGTCCAGTTGGTTGTATGGAAGTGAGAGTTGGGTATATCAGAAGAAATAGAAAAGTAAGCTAAATACAGTGGGAACAGTGTATTTAAGAAGTGTGTATGTGGTAAAACATAGATAAGAGTCAAGACTGAAAGAGCTGAATAAATATGGAATAAATATAAAAATGGTTGACCAGTATTAAAGAACTATGTTGAGAAGGTTTGGTCATGCTGGGAGAATGAACAAGGACTGAACTGCAAAATGATATATGGGGGATGAGTCACAAGAAAGGCTAAGAGAGTCCATGGCACAAAGTTAATGAGGCCCTGAGAGTTGAGAAGTTTAAAGAACAAAAGATAGCATGTGAAGTGGTATATGACCTGGTGGAAAGTAGGATGGTTGCAAGAATAAAAAAGTAAGGAGAGGTATAATGAATGATCTTGGTGTAAAATACTTTTAGCTATCTTTTGTTTTCTTTTTCTTATCTCAATCCATTAATTTTATTTACTATTTCTTTGCATTACTGTTTACCTGAAAAGGGAATAGTAATGATGGGTGTGTATATTTTCAAATTATTTCCTTCCTACCCAAATATTTAACAGAAGTACAAGTGAGATGTATAATTATAACTTTATTTAGCAATTCTTTTTTTTTTAAAAAAATCATCATTTCTATCATGTAACTGAGCAAGCCTGTCTATATTTTTTTGTGCTCTAGTAAAGTTTTTATTGGTGCACAACAGTTAAAACACATTACTCTGGTTTACAGGATATATATCTAACACCAATAATGCATTCCCTTCTAACTGAAACGTACTCATTCTCATTATGAAAATCATCAGAATGTGTTGTAATTTTAAACTCCCGGCTCAGTATCTGTTCTGCAAACCACTTTTTTATTCCAACCACTGTAGCAGTCCTGTCTGTACTGACAGGAGTTTGTAATAGCATCATCTATCTCAAGGAGTTGATTGTACTTCCAGGCAAAAGTTGACTTGGTATCATCAAATCTAGTATAGGTGTACCTATCAAGAAAATTCTACTGAGAAAAGCAAGTAAATAAGCATAGATTAGAATATGATTGGCTTTCCTTATCCTAATAGAAGGAGAGAAACATTTTTTTCCAGTAACCAGTCAGATCAGCAAGTTTGACTGGGAATTACAGTGATTCAGGCTTAACTATTTCCTATTCAGAAAGGATCTTCTCTCCTCCCCTGAGTAAATCATTCCCAAGGCTTTTCAACAGTTTCCTCTGGAGAGAACTCAGAACAACTTCATTTGCCAGGGACTGAATGCTAGGGATGAATAAACTATTAAGCATTTTTATGTGATTATAAAAGGCTCAGTCTTCTGCTAACATATCTTTTTAGTTGTGTGTTCAACTATGGACATGGCAGAATTTGCAAATGTATATGTGAATTAGTAGGAAACACATGCTCTACCATTGTATCCTATAGGTTGGCCTATATGAATGCTTACTTGGAAGCTTGAGTGCAAAGATAAAGGTAGCCCTTTACTGGCCAAAAGGGGTGCATTTTTTTTTTCTTAGCATTATGCACAAAGCAGAAAATATGTTTTGTTTTGAATTGTGGGAGGGACACTCTAGACATTCTGTCAAACTGTTTTGAATCAGCTGCAGTTCAGTAGAAATCCAGAATTACTTGACAGTTTCAGGTGCTTCAGCATGGGAAGCAGCTAAACTCTTGTTGACCCCCTAGGCTATAGCAAGAGATAGAAAACTTACTTTTGCCACCTAGTGGAGGTCATCTGTGTTTTTGCAGCCTCATCTGGTAGCTATAGCCCTAGCCTGTCTTGAACTAGAATACAACTGTTTGTGTTGAGATATTATGACTGAAAAGAATGTGAGGAGAAAGATTATTGGTAAGCTGGCTCTGTATTTTTGATGTCTCACAAAATGAACAATCTTTTAGGTCAGTTACTTCCTCCAGAGCAGGAAGACATCCTAACAATAAAATAATAATTTAAAAAGAATTCCCGTTGGTCTGTTAAGGGTTACTTTTAAATATGTTCTTTTTTCAATATATGCTGTCTCTCCCTAAGCCTAACCTTGCAGACAGTCAGGAACACAGTCTCTTCTTCCTTCCCAATGTTTAAAGGTTCACCTGCAGATTTAGCTTTTTTGGTGGAGCAGCTAAAGGTCCTGATCTGAAAAGCATGGGAATGGGATGGGTGAGGGGAATCCCTCTCTAGAACCACTATCCATCCCACCACACTGAATTGAAACTGAAGCTTAGAATAAAATGAAGTTGGATCTTTGGAGTGTCTCAAAGGCGAGCAGGCAACCAATTACTTATCACCTATCACTACCAATTTAGCAGAAGCACCAGTCCAGCATAGGAAGTCTAACAGCTGCAGCTATTTCTTCCTCTGCACCTCATTCTCTATTTAGTCTTTCTCAATGGCAGTTAGATCTGGATAACTCTCTTTGCCATGTGCTCATTATGGGCCAGCTACTTCACTTTAAAACTCCACCCAGCTTAAGCCAACAGCATGACTGGTCTCCCTTGATGTACTGGCCCAGATATGAAAATTCAAAAAGTATCACCCCAGTTGTAAGAGACAAGACAGTGAAAGCAGCTAATACAAATGTGAAGAACCACAGAGATGACGTTGGAGAAACTATGTGATGGTAGCTACAAAAACATGATTTAAGCCCATGACAAGAAGAAAGCGTTAGAAAGAAACTGACTCCACCTTAACCATCTTGGGTATAAGAAAGAGGGAGGAAAAACATCAGGCTTTCAAGATTCTATTACTATAGCCTATTTCAATAGAGTTCCAGTCATTCTTGAGTCTGTTTCCTGACCTGGCCTACCTCAAAGGGCTGACAACAAAATATATTAAACAATTCTACCCAAAAGCAGTGTTTTAGTCCATCTTCAGAACAAAAGACGTAAAATATGAATGAACCACCCAAAACTAATTCTTCCGTGTACAGAGTGGTTTTGCCTATTGCTACCTTTTGATCTTTTTTCAAAAAGAGGTCACGTACAGAAAGATTTTATTTCTCTTAGAGGGTATTTCCTAGTAAAAGCTACGCAATCAGAATCACTCTGGTTGTATTTGGATACACAGATTCTGTATCCAAAAGGAAGAACCAGTGATTTGCACTCTTAAGGTATTCCTCTGACTCATTTTAAGCTTCTTTCTTCATCTTTTTCCTCACCTCTCAGCCCAATGGGCAAGGGGAAGAAAGATGAACATTCATGTGTTACAAGGAAAAGGAAAGCTGGGCAGGGGGAGCAATCCTCTAACAGTAGAAGAGCTTGCTCGGATTTGAAGAGGCATACGGATCAGGCATAGAACCAAACCAGTGGCCCCATCTCTCTCAATTCCTTAAGCAAAGCAGAGGATCATTCTCTCCCATAGGCCTTAAGACAGGGGACCAAATTGTTCCCCTTGAATCTAGTTGATTATCTCCAAAAAGAGGATGGGCTATCTGGAGAAGCCCCTCCATCACCATCTTCACAGCCTCTAGCTAATCCTACTAGGCAAGACACAAAAGATTCCCATACTGAAACAGCAACCCTATTCCCACTTCCCCAGAAACTTAACTTCTAAGAAATTCCCAGAGTAAAGATAATTGGGTTCAGAAGTACCTTTCCTGTGGTTTCTCTCATTTCTACAAGGAGTAGAACAGAGAAGACACTTTAAATCTTGTCTTCCTCTTACCAACCTTTAATGCCTCCTTTCCCTTCCCTACAACTTAGAAGAGAAGGAAGAGGCCAGGACAAGAAATCTTTTCTATGATTTTCCATGCTCCCAAGTGCATAGGCAGTTGCAAAAAAATTCATAAAGCCAGCAGTCCAGCTCCACCAACCAGTAAGGGGTGTGCTGTGAAATGACACAGAAAATGAAGAGACAGATTCATTCCATCCCAGCTCTCCAGGAACTAGGAAAAGCAAGTTGTTCCAGACAATCCAATGTCTCCTAAATGTTAGTGACACAGAACATATGCCTTTGGAAGAATTTCTCTAGTGTTTTCATCATCTTCACTGTGTCCAAGAAGGAGCAATGGAGTGCAATCCTTTGATTCAAGCCCAATATTGAAGGGGATTTTATTCTAGGGATCAGAAGTAAGTTATTTTTGGCCATATCCTCACCTGAAGAGTGTTAACCCTTTTAGGTCTATTATACCATAACCAGAATACTTCATGGTAAATTCAACTATTGTTCTTAGTGATTCTCTAGATTCTTTGATTCATATTTGAAGATTCATATGCAATTCATATGGGGTATATAGTGAAAGATTACCAAGATACAGTTTGTCTGGCTGAATTTCTTGTATACCTATATCTTTTCCCAATATTGGTCTCTGCCTAGCCTGTCCGTTCAACAGAGAAAAACTGCTTCTGTCTAACATGCCTTTTTAGTTAACTATCATGCAGCCACTTGATGGCATTATATACATTGTAGTTTGTATTTTATGTCTGTTAACTTTGTTTCTGCCATGGCTTTGAATTAAACCTAGGCCACTTTGGACAAGGCTTAATGTAGATTAAATATGCTCAAAGTAATGAAGATAGACCTTCTTTCATCTATTAATTCTTATCAGGATTACTCTATTACTCTATATTTCCACATCCTTGTTACCATATGGATAAAATCTTATGTTTTCTCCTCTTATGAGATTTTGCCACTAATCTGGAGAGGCCAGGGTTCATCCTGTAAGAAGTGTGGTCCACTTAGGCTATTCTTTCCACTAAGGCTCCCCTATAGGAAAATAGAACACTTATTCTGAAAGTTCATTTTCTACAGTGAGTGGAGAGTATACATTCCTCTGTCAAAAGATAATGGTTTTCCTGTGGAGAAATCCCATTTTCCTGTGGTGGTTATTTTCGTTTCTTGAATTTTCTTTGGAGCTCCTATAATTTTGATCCCACTACTGTGGGGGGTGGGGTGGTATTCTCTCCCTATTCTTCCATTGTTACAAATATTTGACTCGTGACAATGGAAGCAAATGGAAGTCTTCAAGGTATCTTTCACTCAAAACTTCTGTTTTTGTAACATTTCATAATTGTGTACTTGTTTTATATCAAAAAGAAATTGTCTACAGATACCAGCTCCATTTTCCAATAATCTTATAATGCCAGAAACTTCTGTAAGTTGTGTATTTATAAAATAAAAACTAAAACAAAGCACTAAAATATAATCTGTTATCATTTTCTTCTAGAAATACTTGACTGAACAGAATGCAAAAATTGACAGAGAATTTCATGGATTTTTATCTCAAGATCCACTGATGAACTTGAAAGAAATGCTAGATAATTACAAAAAGAAGATGAGTACTCTGTATGCCTCAGACACATGAGTGAAAATATTATCTGTATAATATATAAAAATGTTTACTTGCTAAGGTTCCATAATTTTTTTAGGATAATGAATATTTTCAATGTGAAAAAATGTTGAAAGTAAATAAAATATCTCTGTAGCAATAAATTGGTCCAGCAGTATATCTTACTGTTAATTTCTAATTTCTTAATATGAAAGAAGTAATAATTAGCAATGTCATTTCTAAATTGATGGTTAGCAGTCTTGTTCATTGTCTGGTGCCCAACATGGAAAAGAAAAAAACTTATGTACAACACGGAAACAAAGAATTATAACGTGTTTGGGAGAAAAACCATCATTATTTTCTTGGAAGGAAGACTCTAAAGTCCTTTTCAAGTGTTCACATACATGCAGGACACTTAAGATTTAAATAAGAAAAGTGCTGCACTCATGAAAAAGAACATCCCATGTTTGAACACCTGCTTTGGTTATAGTTTTCCCTACAAAAGTTTATGCTTACCTTATCGATATTAAGTGTCAAGAATAGCCAGAACAGGACCAGCACTATAGTGGCATTCCTATTTCAAAATATGAATACTTGGTATGTATAATTTGGGCCTAATGTTATCATTCCCTGGTAAACAGATCTAAGGACTACATCTGAATTTTGAACTGCTTTCCTTAAACAAAATTTAAGTCTCAGGACTTGATATCTTCAGGGTATCAATAAAATATCCGCAGTTTTGACTTTAAATTTTTTTCCAGATGAAATGCTAGGAAACATATGCAAGTAGTTCTAAGACTATTACATTGCATGTAATATACATGTATGCTATAAAATATTTAGAACAGGAATCCTAGCAATGACAATGGAGAACAGATACAAAAATATCTGAAGCTATATAACCTCTTCAAAATGCAGCAGCCACAATATTAGTGGCTAAAAAAAGGTCCTAGGTATATTTCTAACTACATGGATATCCTCCATAAAGGGAGGAACTGATTGCCCAGAACCCCTCTTATATAGGTTCTGTTAATGTATGTAGCTGATATAGGCTATGAATGGAACATAGACATGACTGCTCATGTTCTTTCAATGAGTGTAAATTCCATCAGCTTCATCCCTTGACTATTGCAATATGTTCTATATCTAGGATTCCTGTTTCTAATTTATATCATACTGCATACAAACTAGGAAGTTCCCTTTAAATACATACAAAAGATCCATTTTTTTCATACACAAATACGTTTTGTTTTTTTGAAGGCTTCATCCCATCTCTGGATAAGGAACTCTGGAATATTTGTGCCTTTCTGTATACATGAACAATAAATAAGGAACAGATATGGTAAACTCATTATAAATTACTGTGCCTGTGGTATTCAGTTGAATGTAAGCCTTGAACCTGGTGGATCTTGCTATAGCTCATTTAATCCATGTTTTAATCTTGCTTTGTATATATCTTCACTTTTACATTGTACTTTTCACTCACTTCTTCAAGGTGACACCTATATCCATAATACATTCCTTTGATTATGGAATATAGTATTTAATGGAATATACAATATTGCTATGAAAGCTGTTTATATTTGTTGAATTTAAACCATTTTATCTTACTATATTTCTCAGGCAAAGTAGTTTTAAAACCTTTTTTACATTAAAACCTATGTTCCATTCATAGCCTATATCAGCTACATACATCCTTTTTTACAGGATTTGTTCAGATCACTTGGAATAAGATCTATTACAACTCAAGATTGTAAATATGCTAAAAGAACTGTTTAAAAAATACAAGTTTAATAAATGAGATTTGACATAGTGACCAATGTAAGACTATAGTTTCAATTCAGTATGTATGTATACATTTTGTACGTAAACATTTTGTAATGTTTTGAATCATATTTTCAATGATGTGATGGCATCTAGATAGCATCTGCTTTTACTGTAATAAGGTTCAGTTATTAAAACCAATATTCACTTTTCTGATGTCGAAGTACACCAAGCCTTAAAACCTGAGTCTGTGTTTCTGGAGTATGAGCACACAGACAATGAGTAATGTTCATGGTTTCATATATTTGTAGTATTTGTTTATTCTTGAAGGCACTAATTAAAATGCAAAATCCTGGAGAAGTGTGCTTGAAAATTGGGTCACTAATGTAAAGCCTGTAATTACAGATTCTCAACATTGAGAAACAAAATAAAAATGGCCAATATTTCACAAGATCTCAGGGCAAGATTTGGGAGAAACGAAACCCTTGTTATTGCAGAATGAGATGATTCACTCCATGGCCACAACAATAGCTGGGACCAAAGTCCATGCTGAGTGCTGCCTAGCATGCACATTGCATAAAATGTGGCTATGAAGACTATTTTTTAAAATCAGTAAAATTAATTCTTATAGGAAATGGTGGAATACAGCTCTGTTCTTACCTACTGAACAATCTATTTAGCATGTTATTTTTAAAAAATCTCTGTCTCAGCAGAGAACATAAACAAGTCTTTTAAGTTACATCCTTTGGATCCTTTAGCCAAAAGATTTACAAAACAAAGGGAAGAGATAATCTTTTTAACATTTCTTTCCACTAGCATATCATATATGGGGGTTTGTTTTTAATATTTTTATTTTACCAAAAATAATTTCCTTGGACAGTTTTTTCTGTAAGTGCTAACACCCCATACTTAGCAAGATCAACAAATATCTGGCATACATTTTTGTGGTTATCTACAGCCACGGAAAGCAAAAGCAACTGTGTTTATGTTTATGTTTGCACATAGAAATGGCTGCTGGCTGCAAAAAAAAATTGCATTTGTAATATACTAGTAACTTTCCTTGCCCACTTCCACATCATTTCATGAAGTTTAAACCAACAGCAGCAGATACAAGACTGGTCCTTGCTGCTATATTAGAAAATGTTTGCAAAATACAACCCAGTCATAACCCACAAAACTGTCCAATCACAGTGCAGAGAACAGAAGCACTCAAAATGGTGCTTTTTGGAAGAAACAAGTTTTATTTCATACCTGGAACACTTCAAAGAGCTGTTCTGAGATCAAACCATTGTGCACCTCCTTTATGGGCAGTCTTGATAGCTACAGGATAAAATATAATTTCTCCATGAATCTGTCAGAGAAGAATGGTGGTGGATGATAACTAGTACAAGGAACTGAAATATGTGTCCCAATCAGACCTATTAGCTTCTGAAGTGTGCAGTCTGCCATGAACACGAATTGAGTGATCAAGTACAACAACAATTTTCCTGACCTGTTAATGTAAAACAAAATATTAGAGCTACAATTATATCACCATGGATATTCAATACAGGGAGTCTCCAGTTTAAGAACAAGTTCTATTCCAAGGTCTGTCCTTAAGGCAAATTTGCATGTAAGTCGGAATAGTGTTTTGTATAATACTGTATAAGTATTATGTAATTAATTTGAACCATTGTGTATTTAACTTGAATCATTGTGTATTTAATTTGAATTGTGCTACAGTAGGCTCCGGCCTTAACTATGGGTTGTCCATAAACCAGGCATTCTTAGCCTGGGGGCTACCTGTATCTAGGAAGATCAAGATGCTGGTGGCTCATGGGCAGGAAAGGAAAATAATACTGCAAGTGAATGATATAATTTGCTGTACAAATCATGTCAGTGGGAGAGCTTGGTTTTGGGGAGCATGTTTTGATTTATGATGAATTACTAAGATTTCAAGGGTTCAGCATTTACCCAAAGCATGGAGAGCTTGATCAGTTGAAATTGACAGGAGTGGAGACAGAAAGCCTGATGGACTTTAGATATACTTACACAGTACAGACTGTAACTGTAATTGAGCCTGTTAAACCACTCACTTTTAAGTTAGAAAGGATATTGACTCAAGGTTCATTTTTTTGTCCGTACACTGTTGCTCAAAGTATGGGAACTAAACTAATGGGATTAGAGCTAGCAATGACTGATAAGATCTTGGATTGATGATAAACAGTTCAGTGAAGATGTCAACACTGTAAAATTCGCTGTAAAAAAGGCCAACCCCTTGTTAGGGATAATAAACATTATATAGAGATACCAATATCATAATCTATATACTACTAAAACTCTTGTGTATGTAACCTTCAACTGGGTGAAACTGTGTTATAGGGCAACGATTTTTGAACCAAGGTACCTCAAATGGGCTAACTTACAGAATGAGTCTAAATTCCAGGACTCATTACTCCCATGGGATTGAAATTTGGGACATTTGTGGCTTCAGCACAACACTGCAGCAGTCAGCCCAAGTCATAAGATCATCATGGGTGTACTGTATTCCCAACCTCTTTCTCATCTCCCTCTGTCCCCTGTGCCCAATTGGCTGGCAGCAAGGCCTGGCAGGCGAGGGGTGATTGGCTTCTTTGGAAACGAGGCAGAAATTTGAAATCTCTTCACAGCAGTTGGTGGTGAGAGAAGGACCAGAAAGCGACTTAGATGCCTGCTGGCAAGGTAGGGTTTGCTGGGGGGCACCAGCAGTTGACACGTGAGCCCTCTTCCTCCCTCAAGGAAGGGGACCTTTGGGGACACACCACAATGGGGAGTGGAGGTACAGTTTTCCTCACAGTTCATGGCTCCTTTTTCCACTCCCCCGGCAAAATGGCAGGCAGTTCTGTGGGTCAGCTGAGGTGGAGGAGGACCTCCCTCCCTCTCACTTCCTTCTTGACCCTTTCACTCTTCCTTCATACAGGTAGTCCTCGCTTAACCACCACAAGAGGGACCATTAAATTAGTTGTTAAGTGGGGCGGTTGTTAAGCGAATCAGACCCAATTTTACAACCTTCTTTGTGGTGGTCATTAAGCGAATATCCATGATTAAGTGAATCATGCAGTCATTAAGCAAATCACACAGTTCCCCATTGATTTGGGTTGCTGGAAGCTGGCTGGGAAGGTCACAAATGGTGATTTCGTGATCCCAGGGTGCTGCAACCACCATAAGTGCGAGCTGGTTGCCAACCGTCTGGATTGTGATCACATGACTGCGGGGGTGCTGCGATGATCATTACTTCAGGCACCAGTCATATGTCACTTTTGTTAGCACCACTGTAACTTCAAACTGTCACTAAATGAATGGTTGTTAAGTGAGGACTACCTGTATAACTTTTGTAATTTTACTCTCATTCACCTCTCTGTAAGACCAAACTATCTCAACATAATTCTTCAATATTGATCACTCATTTTAGTAGTCACTTCATATACATTCAGCATCCATTCATTTTTTCATATTCATTCAGCACCTATTTTTCTTTTACCACACGTTTCTTAAATATCCCAATTCTACTGCATTCAACTTTTATGTTTCTCCTGACATATTTTACTCTTATTTGCAAATGACAAAGTAGACAAAAGAATACTTTTATATATAACCATGTTATTTCTTTTGACAAACGCTGATTCCTCACACCAGACCACATACTAGCCATTACTGCTCTATCAACATCCATATCTTAAAATTTCTCAATTTCCACCTTTTAAAACTTTGTACAAAGATACACCCATTTGTTAGTTGCTCTAGTTTTTTGCCATTTGTTTACCAATTGTTCACTTCATTTCCTTATCAGACACAACTACTTTGATCTTTCATAAATTAATTTTCAAATTCAGCCTCTTCACTGCATCATACAATCGTAAATCTAACATTTGCTGCAAATAACTAGGGTTCTCAACCAACAACATGGCATTATCTACATACTTAAGTAGGAGTCAACACTAACTTGATTGCACTTAATCAGTCAAAATATCCACATACCAATATGTACCATTCCCTAATAATGATAAAGTCAGCATCAATCTGTTTTGGGATATTTTTAAACAGTATGCAAGCAACACAATCAAAGCTTAGTTTATCCCAAGCATGCTCATGCTATTCTATACTTACAAATACAGTATCTCTAATCTAGACACTGTCTCACAAGCCAACATCCTACCATTGCCCACTTCCTACCAACTAAGATATATATGCAGTGCACTGACACACTCATGATACACAGACAAAATTGAGTATAGGAGTGGTCCAAAGGAGTCTAAAGGAGCAACTGAGATGATAAGGAGCCTAAAAGGAGAACTTATGAGGAGATACTGAAAGTGTTCTGTATATTCAGCCTAGAGAAAATTGCAAGGAAATATAGTTGTTCTTATAACGCATCTAAACTTTTGTCATGCAGACGATGGGGCAGAATAGTTTCACAAGACAGGACGTGAAAGAATCAAGGACAGAGATTTCAGCTGGACATCAGGAAAAAATGTCTAGCAATGAGAGCTACTCAAAAATGGGCAGAGTGCGTTGAAAGTGGTAGACTCACCTGCAGGGGAGGTATTTAAACAGAGCCTGGATAGCCATCTGTCAGGGATGCTGTAGTTGTGGAGTGCTGCATTGCGCAGGGGGTTGGACTAGATAATGCCCAATGTAGCTTCCAACTCTTACATTCTTACATTCTATAAACCTATTAAATATTGCTGGTCTTCAATAACTGATAAAATAAGTGAGTTGATCAATAATTTGGATGAATTTGCCACACAGTATGAGTCTTTTCTATCCCCATATGATGTAGTATGGAACAATGCCCGTTTCACATTCACTTAGCAGTCATTACTCCTTAATCTTTGTTTAAATCGGATGTGTATATGCTTTCCCTAGTACTACAGTATCTATTAGTGCTATTGGATTCATTACATACATTAAATACATTAAAATGTCATTAATGTTATATTTTATTAATAATGGAATAAACAATCTTTCAGAAGAATACAAAATATAAACAAAGTACCAAGACACACTAAAATAACAAAATTAAATGAAACAATCCTTAAACTTTAAAAAAATAGTTGAAAGCAGAAAGAGGAGAAAAAAACTAAAAAATAAAAATCTACCTTATACAATACATTAAACTTATAGACAGACACTGGTTTATTATGTTATCTAGATTTTTTTTTTTGGTGTTGCCTTAATATTTATATTTTAATTTTTACTTTTCCTCTTGAAAAAAACTAAAATTAAAATTATCCCCCAAACTGAACGACGTAAGGCATCTGGAGAAAGATAATTCTGTAGTTCTTCTTGGCGTCAGGTTGCGCAAGTTCTTCCCTCACCTGTCTTGTGCAT